TTACCTACATGCAGGCATAACACTCATACACATAAAATAAAAATAATACAATATTTTTTTAAAAATTGAGCTCCTTCAGATCCATTTTGCCCCACCTTTCCCAGAACTGGAGACTCAAAGCTCACAGGTGCTAGGATGGTCTCTGCATGATGCACTAACCTTTATCTCATGGTGTAACACAGATCCTGGGTGACCCCCAACCCTTATCACTTCAACTGTGTCTTCAACTCATATCCAAAGTGTTTTCTAACCGTCCCCATTTTTCCAGAATGTGATTATCCAAACCTGATATTTGAGAGAGAAAGAGCTAAAACTTGTTTAATAAGAAATGATTCATAGGAACAAACTCTTCTGTCACAAATGGAAGGTATCAGCTCTGGTGATTCATGGCTCTCTGCCATTTGCTTTTTAAATAAGCATAAAAACTCTGAGACCTTCACATGTAAATGAATTCTGGGTGTCAATTTTAAAATAAAATGACTAGATAGGAAACAATCCAGGTCTTTGAAGAGTGGACTGACTGAGCCTGTTTCAGTTTATGGCTAAGCAGGAACCAAACGAGAGTAGAATCCCTGGTACTGTCAGCAGGAGAAAAACCTGCTGTCCTGTATGTGCAGAGTGGTCGGTCTTTATGACCAGTAGTAGGACAAGCAAGTGATTGACTGCCCTTCTTTCTTTAGACCTGTGTGCTCTTGGGCCTATGACTGGCTGTTACTCTTCTGCTGAGAGAGACCTAGGCCTGGGCATTACTTCTTCAGCATAAAACACTCTCCCTCAAACTGGGGAGAGGGCCCAACCAGTAAAGCGTTTGCCTCACATGCACAAGGACCAGAGTTCGGATCCCCAATACCCACATAAATAATAGGTGAGGTGGCAGTCTGCATGCAATCCCAGCACTCCTGAGGCAGAGGCAGAAGATGCATGGAGCAAGCTGGCCAGCCAGCCCTGCCCTGCTAGAATCTGAAGAGACAAATCATGGTCGCTTGTGTTTTTGAGAAGCACCACAAATGATCCTGACAATGGGCCCTTAGGTTTTTATTTTCTGAGAAGTTATTCATAATTCATGTCAATTGTACTGTGTCCTTCTACTATGAGCCTTCCATAGGACTTTCCTTTGCATGCGTAGGATCTGACATCACCCCCAACATGGTCAGATGGAGATGATGCTCTGGCTAAGTGATTACCAATAACAGAGCAAGATGAGAGTCTGGGGACTGAAGCTTCAAATAGTTCCTACTCAAAATCCACAGCGCATCTCAAGCCCGGTCCCAGGTCCCGCATCATTTTCCTTTCTCTTCCAACTGAACTCAACCTAGAAAAATACAACCATCATGCACCGTGAGTATGGAAAAAAAAATAATCCAAGATCATCAAATGATGGACGCCTTGCTCTGCAAAAACATGGTCCCATTCTCATTGCTTGGGAAGTGGGAAAGGCAGCTCGGCTCATCCTGAGAAACAGTGCAGATGGTATATTTGGCACCACCAGCCCATGTAGACCAGAGATGCATTTATTTACATGACTTTATTTGCATTGTGACGCTTCATCTGGACTGTGGCTCACATCTAACCTTTTAAAGGGTCAAGAGGGAGTGAACCATTTTGCTCTTGGGATTGGAGGGGGTGACCCCCGTGGAAGGGGGATGTTTGCATTTCCTCTACCTGCAAAATATTCATTTCTTACAGCATCAGAAAACATTTGGTTATGTTATCTCGTGGGTCCAGGAGGAGCGTGGAGTGTGCCAAATTTAAGAGGCATTGCCAAATGCCATAGCCTGCATTATGTAGATGGAGCACGTCAGTGAAACTGGCGCTAACTAGTTGTAGATTCCAGCTCTTGCCTCAGAAGCAAAACAGCCCTGTTAGTCATTTCCAACTGGGCTCCTGCGGCTTGCCTTTCGTTGTAAGATGTCTTTGTGTCTGTGCGCAGATGCTGGCCCATGGGCGCAGCTGATTGGCTGCCATGGCTGACCTCTTTGGGGTTGGGACAGTGAGCTCTGAAACCTGCACCGAATGGACTAAGACTCCCTGTGGACTTGGAGATGATAAAAATCTAGCATCATGGGGTCTTAGCGGAAGCCTCAGGGAGCCTGGCTCCAAGCCTGGCTGAACAATCACGTCCTGGTACTGGTCCCTAGCGCGCTCATCCGTAAAACATGGACAAGTAAGCCGGGTATGGTGGCCCACAACTTTACTCCCGGCACTTGGGAGACAGAGGCAGGTGGATGGATCTTTGTGAGTTCAAGGCCAGCTGGTCTACATAGGGAATTCCAGGCCAATGAGGGCTACATAGTGAGACCCTGTCTCAAAAAGAGAAAAAATGGGGACAGGATAGTCAGGTTTGTTATGGAAAATTTGCTGTGGTTGGGTGTGGTGGAAATTTAGTGCCTGCAATACCTTCCAAGCATGCCACATCCAAAGGCCAGTAATTATATGAGGTGCTGGAGATTAATTCCCCGTGGTGGCTTCAGAGGCTTTAGGAGAAGAGAGGCCCAAGCTTCCCCACTGTGATGCCCTGAACTGCCTTGGCACCCTGCAGATTGCAATAAGACCCTCCCCAGATGCCGCCCCTTGACTGTGGACTTCAGGAACCATAATTTCAATAAACTCTTATACTTTATGAGTTACCTAGTCTGGGGGCTGGAGAGATGGCTCAGCGGTTAAGAACATTGGCTGTTCTTTCAGAAGACCCAGGTTCGAATCCCAGCACCCACATGAAGCTAACTACTGTCCGTAACTCCAGTTCCAGGGAATCCGACAGCTTCTCCTGTCCTCCGCAGGCATTGCACAACATGGGTACACCTATATCTATGGTATTCAATTATAGCAACAGAAAACAGACTAAGACAGACCAATATAATCCATACAAAACATTTAGCTCAGTAACTGACCCAGAGTGAACCCTCAGCAAAATGCTTTATTATTTATCACTATTTTCACATTTTTATTGATATGTGTATGTTACTTAATGCACATGATGATTGAGTAAATCAAATAAAGTTATGTAATGAATGTTAAATATGCAGACCTCGGGGCATGTGAGGGACTTGGTATTGGAGAAGAATGAGTAATTGCTTACACAGCATGTCTGGTAAATCTCCTCTTAATATGACATGGGTTTTTGGCCCAGAGTCCCTCACCTGTTTGAATTGAGAAGCCACTATGTCCTGGACCAAGTCCTGGAGCCACCAGTGCCCAGCCCTGGGTGAGCAGAAGACCTGGTTTCCATCTGTGATACGCCAGTGGTAATGGTCTGGAGGAGATCTGGCTGGGGCTCAGTGCTACCAAGACTGAACTTCCTGCTAGGCACTGGGTCATGTCTATTGGGACAGTCTTCAAGAGGGCCTGGGTGAGGGTAACAAGAGTGTGTGCATGGGTGGCATCTACCAGCAGCAGTACCTGGACAATGCATTTTCTGGGCAGCCGGCCAGCTTGCTGCCTCAGTTGGCTTGTTTGTCTAACGACTGCTCTCAGTGGACAGTTACTGCTCTCCAGCACTCTTTGGTCAGTGCAAAGGAGATGATGCTTAAAGAGGCTGGGGGAGTTATCCTTCTGGAGGGAAATGAGGCTGCCTTGGGTGATAATGGAGGCTCTGGCTATGTCAAAGGCCTCCCTTTCTGTCCTCGGTGTGATTTTCATTGTTATTTTTGTTGGTGTTTGAGATGGTCTCACTCTGCGGCCCTGGCTGCCCTGAAACTCATTATGTAAGTCAGAGTGGCTTCAAACTCAAAGATTTGCCTGCCTCTGTCTCTGGAGTGCTGGGATTATGGGAGAGAATCACCAAGCACGGCTTTGGCCAACCTGCTTTCTAAGTACATTGCTTCCCAGATGCAGGACTGGAGAGATTGCTCAGTGGTTAGAGCACTGGCTACTCTTGCAGAGGACCCAGGTTCGATTCCCAGCATCCACATGGCAGTTAACAACCGCCCATAACTACAGTTTCAGGGGAATCCAATGCCTTCTTCTGACCTCCATGGGCATTGCGTGACACAGGTGCATTTACATACATGCAGGCAATACACCTATACGCATAAAATAAAAATATTAAAAAAAAATCCCAGATGCTCAAAGTGACAGCCACAGTCACAACAAGAGTGTCTCTGAAAGTCTATCATATCCTGGAGCAGAGCCCCTGTTGCCCAGCAGGGCCTGCTTCCCACTGCCAGAAGACACCTGTGTCAGTCAGCTGCGGAGGGAGTCATGTTAAGTGACATTAAGTGGCTCCTTTTCCCATGCACCACTTTCCTGGTCTTGGCACATAATAGGCATTCAACAAAATTTAAGACTGACATAATAACAATAGATGATTTAAATACTGGAGACCACGCCTCAACACAAGTGTCTTCTATGTATTAGTTCATTTTATCCTGGGGACAAGCTAATGAGGTAGTTAACATGATTATCCCCCATGTTAGAGCAAATAAATGGGGCTTTTGAGAACCTAAGTACCTTGTTCAAGGTCACAGGGCTGGAAGTGGCAGGCCTACAAATGTTGATGCTCTGAGCTAGATTGGAGTTTTGTTCATTCACTATTTCCTTGAGATAAGGTCTCATGTAGCTCAGGCTGGCCTCAAATTTGTTATGCAGTCCTGAGATTGCAGGTATGTACCACCAAGCTTCAATGCTTAGATTTTGTATGACTAGTAAAAGTTGGAAAAAAATCAATTAATTTGTAGCAATTAAAACAAAGGTAGTGATTAGTATGGGCCATGAAAGAAACAAAGCAGGGAAATACAGGAGGAGGGAGGAAGGGAGGGAGGGAAAGGGACGAGAAAAAGGAAGAGAAGAGTATGAAACGGTGGCATTGAGAGGCTGCGGGGGGACCTCTAGAAACGCAGAACTAATGGGGTTGAGATGACTGGGTCAGTAAAGGGCTGTTCTGCAAGCATAAAGACCTAAGTTTGATCCCCACAAACCGCATAAAAACGTCAGACGCGATGGGGTATGCCTGTAATCCCAGCACTCGGAAGGCTAAGGCAGGATGATGCCTGGAGCTCCCAGACCGTCCAGCCTGTCAAATTGGTGATTTCCAAGTCAATGAGAGAGACTGCCTCAGAATATAAGGTGGAGAGCAATTGAGGAAAATACCTGGCATCAATCTCTAACCCCCATATGCATGCACACACATGTACACACGAACACATACAAGTGCAAATACATGTGTATGTATACAGCACACAGAGTGAGTTGGGGGAGGGGAGAGCCAAGAGCAAGTGCCTGTCGGCCTCCCTGGCCTCCAGCAGCAAGAGAGGGGATGCAACTTTCAAGTCTTCTTTGTAGTTAATTTCTGACACCAGATAACTGGCTTAAATACGTGTGTGCTATGCAATTTTGTCCATTTAATTCTTTCTTCTTTTTCTAACTGATATAGATTGAACCGAGTCCCCCTTCATGTTGAAGGTCTAACCACCCCCCATCCCAAAGTGAAGAAACCAGGCTGAATGGAGTCCTAAGGCTGAAATCCTGGCAGACTCGACCTCCTTAAGGGCAACGAGAGCTCGTTCTCCTCTCTGTATCCTTCACACAAGGACAAGGAGGAAGCAGCTGGCTGTAAGCCAGGTAGAAACCAAATAGGCTGAGACCTTGATCTTGAACATTCAGCCCCCATAACCATAACTGAGAAAACAAATCTCTGTAGTTTAAGCCGCACAGCCTGTATTACATGTTAGTAGCACGAACAGAAGCCTGAGACAGGGACTCGGGGTAGAGAATGGACAGGGCTATGACTCAGGCTCAGAGACTGTCACTTAAGGCCCCTCCTAAAACTTTAGATTCTGTATGATGCTGAGACATTACCCAGCATGGCTTGGGTCCCAAGCATGTGGAAGGTACCTACATTTCATTTCAAAAAGTCCGTAAGCATTTTTAAAATTTATAATTGTGTGTGTGTGTGTGTGTGTGAGAGAGAGAGAGAGAGAGAGAGAGAGAGAGAGAGAGAGAGAGAGAGGAGAGCATGTGCCACAGCACATATATGGAGGATGGGGGTCAGAGTTGGTGCTCTCGTTATTATTATCATCATCATCTTATGTGTTTGAGTGTTTTACCTGCATGTAAGTGCACCCATGTTATGCAATGCCCATGGAGGTCAAAGAGGATCTCCTGGAACTGGAGTTATGGACGGTTGTTAGTTGCCATTTGGGTGCTGGGAACTGAACTCGGGTCCTCTGCAAGAGCAGCCAGTGCTCTAATTGCTGAGCCACGTCTGCAGCCTCTCTCTTTCTATTCTTACATGGGTTCCAGGCACTGAACGTGGATTTCCAAGCTTAAAGGGCAAGCACCTTTACCTGCTAAAGCAGCTTACCAAACCTCTACAGCATTCTTAGGATGACAAGGGCAATGTGGAAATTAACCTTGTCAAAGCAGGGGATTGAACAAGTAGAGAAAGAACTCAAAAGCCTACATTGGCTTACAAAATGCAGAATACTTAGACAAGCTTTGGTACTGAATAGTTCCTTTAAAAAAAAATCATACCTCCCCCAAACCAATTCCAAATGGGCTTATATAAACTCAAGTGTAGAATCAGGGAAATTTTACAAGGACAGAGAGCATTTTAGAGATATTGGTAATTTTATTTCCTCATAAGGCAAAAAGAAAATTGATTCAATGATGGTTAAGAGCAGTGTGATGGGGTCCTGGAGAGATGGCTCAGCGGTTAAGGGCAATGGCTACCTTACAGAGGACCCGGTTCTATTCCCAGCACCCACATGACAGCTAACCACCATCTGTAACTCTGGTTCCAGAGAACCCAACACCCTCATCTGACCTCCCGCAGGCATTGCACTTACATACATGCAGGCAGTATATACACATAAAACCACCATTTAAAGTTAAAAAAAAAAAAAAGAACAATTCAATGAATGGAAACTCTACTCTAGTCTCTAAGATTCGGGTGACCCCCATTCCCGCCTGTCGAACCATCCCTGCGCCTGCTACAGGTGATGAGTTATGTGTTGGCTTTGTGTTCAAGCTGGGGAGTGTCCCCTGGCCCCACCCCTTTGTTTCGGACCAATCTGGGCTCTATCTCTACTTTCTGGTCTTACTGACTTTCCACTTCTGCTTCTTTTTCTTTGCCTGCAGTTCCCTGCTGCATCTTACAAGAGGCGGATCCTTTTTAATCCAGGAGCACAGGAAGACACCGTTGATATCCTCCCCATCCCAGTGCTGGTGCTGTCTCGGAATTACCAGGGCTGTTTGCAGCGAGGCAAAAAGAAGTGGTGAAGGGCTGAAAAGAATCACCAGCGAGGTGCATGGACCTTTCAGGGGGAGGTGGCAAGGGGAAGATCTTGGGCATCGTGAGTGAGTACAGTCACAGACAACTGCGAATCAGCTGGGTCTACTGGTCTGACCTGTGTCCCTCCTCAGTCAGTCAGCGGTGCTGGGTACCCTGGACTGCACTGAATAGAGTGTTTATTAAATGTGTCTTGTGAGAGGGCAAAGTCATGGGTATCATTAAAGGGGAATCCCTGTAAGAGCAAACCGCCAAAATAAATCCACTTCTTGTAGCATAAATTATGAACTAACCATCCTTCAAAGAGTGCCAGGATTGTTGGATTGTAAGTTCTGAGTCAGGCATTTGACATCACATGATTCTGTAAGAAAATTATCTTCATTTGTGTACACACACACAGGTACATGTGCAAGTGAGTGTGCATGCATGTGGAGGCCAGAGGTCAACCTCAGCTCTGGGTCCTCGGGAACTGTCCATCTTGTTTTTGGAGGCCTCTTTGTTGGTCTGGAGCTTGCTGAGTGGCTGGGCTAGGTGGACGGTGAGCTCCGGTGCTCCACTCATCTCTGCCTTCTCAGTGTTGAGATTGTGAGCGGATGCTACCATGCCCAGCTTTTACTTGTGGGTTCTGAAGCTCGAACTCAGGTCCTAATGCTTGCAAAACACTACTGTACTGACAGAGCCATCTCCCTGGCCCTTATCCTCATCAAGATGGAGTACTTGAAGCTCAAAGAGATGGAGAACCACACAAGTACTCAACCTTGTAAGTGGTGAGATTGTGATGGAGACAGCAATCTGTATGAACTCCTCGGTGCTTATAGCTTAGAGAGTCGTAAACCATCATGGCGCCACTGGGTTTTGATGAGTGATGGACTCTGAAGGAATGGAAGGCTGTATTACCCTGTTGGACTCTACCATGTGGCCTCCAGCAGTTATTTCTTGTAACATCTTCTAACTGCAATCTCAAGCAAAGGACTGAGTTCAGGGGCTTGGCTGACAGGAGATTTCATAAGCTTGTGGGCAGAGTATAGAAGAGCTGCTCTCCCCTTTGGTGACTATCCTGGGCCACTTTGGTCCCAAGGGGTGGTCTGGACATGAACTTGAGTGAATATGGTAGAATGGAGGGAACATAGGTCAGCAGAGAGCTTCCTTTGGAGATTTCTGAGCTGGAAGCCCACTGGTTCCCTCCTTACATTTCGCTCTCAAGTTTGATGTCCTCAAACTGTCAGCATTGGCAAGGCAGCATGTCAGACCAGTGCAAGGCACTAGCTAGCGACACTGACTAAAGGACTTGTCTACTTTGTGGCTCTAAGATAGTTAGTGTTGCTCTCAGGATACTTGCTGAGTTATCTGTGTGCCTGTCTTTATGCCTTTTCCCTTGTTTGTATCTGGGGAACAAAGATTCTGTAGTTAATGTTTGTGCTTAAAAGTGTCTGTGCATAAAGAAAGGGGAGGACTGTCCTAAGCACATGTACTAATACATGAAGACAGACAGACCAACCTGAGAACAGACATGCACACTGAAGGTGCTAGGATGCAAGTCTACACAAGAATATGATCAAGTTTGAGCCGTGAGTGGTACCAAGAAAGAAGTTCAGAGACAAGGGGACTTCTGAGACCATTGCAAAGATAGATTTGGGGAGACAAGGAGGGGGTAGAATCTTTACAGGTAGAAAGAAGTTGTGTCTGGACCACAGTGCATGTATGAGAGAGAGATGGAGCTGGGGGAGTCTGGAGATAGAAGAGTCAAGAGAGAGTCCATCCCTGTGCCAAGGAGGGAGTTTCATCACAAGGGCAACGAAGGACTCTTAGAGGTTTCTCAGCACAAAAGTGATTTAAATAGAACTACTTTTTTTTTTTTAAGATCTCAGTTGATGATTATGCTCAGAAATGTTTGACAAGGTCAAGATCAGAGAAGCAAGTTTTTTTTTAAGGAGCGAGGAATGTGGGCAGTCTACGGCAAAGCCCAGAGGTCAGGAAAAGCACAGCACATGAGCAAACGCAGGGTTGAGACCATGGCAGAAGATCCAAAGAGAAAGAACCAGGTCAGAGCTGCCACAGGGCATGAGAAAGAGAAGAGAGAAAGGAAGGTCAGAAGGAAGGCCTTTGCGGGATGCCTCCCAAGGAATGGGCTGAGGGGCCTCCCAGCTTGGCTAGGGACTAGGTGGGCAGTTAGGCTATTCATGGCCACAGAAGAGATGGAGATGGGAAGACTGGTGTAGAGAGGGGGGCTTCAGAATGAGAGCTTGATGTGCTTGTGGATGCTGAGGTTGGGGCAGAGAGTGTGCACTCTGACAGTGAGGCTGAGGCTAGAGATGTGGCCCAGATACAGTGCTTTACTGATACATACTAAAAACCCTGGGCTCAGTTCCCAGCACTATGTAATCCAGGTATGGAGGTGCACATCTGTAATCTCAGAACTCGGGAGGTGAAGACATGAAGATCAGAAAAACCAGAGGAAAATATATTAGTTCAAAAGCCTACTGGAAAACATACACTATTTATACATGAGTGCATGTGTGTACCTGAAGGCCCAAAACAAGGGACACGAGAGAAACCTCCCTTCGAGTTGGTCAGGGTGATCCAAGAGACTCCCCAAATAAAGCAAACAATTGCCACAGCCCTTGATGGATTGCCTCTCAGAACTTGAAGGTAAGACCCTATTGTTGAAGACAGGCCACATTTCACACACAGGACCTGGAGCAGTAGAGCTGGAGCTGACCTGGGAGCACCTTCCTGAAGACCAGCTCTCATGGTGTCAGAGGACACCATGCAGCTGCTGAGGGAGGAAACCAATAAAAGGTCCACCCAAGTGTAGAGTCTAATAAATACAACGACTGGCCCAGCAAACTATCTCTATTGATACAGTAGTGGTACCTTTACCTTGGGAGTAATCAACAGGTATGTAATTGGACCTAAAGTCCTTTCAGTGGGAAGGAACTCATGTGCCGTACTGTAAACATAGCTAAATACCCAAGGCTGGAGAGGTCATAGATCCCAGGGAAAACCCTAAGTCAGTCAGTCACATCCCTAGACAAAAGCAATTTCTTACTACATATACTAAATATATGTCCTTATATTTACAGACAAGTATGATTGTTACCACTCATCAAAGAAGCTTCTTTTTGCAACAGATGGAGACTACCAGAGTCCCATAACTGGTCAAACACAGAGAATAAGTGTCTTTAAGCCTAGGCCTAAGTTTGACATATCTACAACGGAGCCTTTATACCTAAGACTCATGGAACATAGTGTATCGAGGGGCAGAGAGAATACTAATGCGTCTCTCAACTTTCACCAGGGAAGCTTCCTCATGTGACAGGACCACATAACACAGAAAGCCACAACTGGCCAAATGTACAGAGTAAAAGACTGCAGAATGTATATTCCTGAATAGGACTCCTATATTCAACGTCACACACCCAGGACTCAGGGACAATTGTGGAAGAGAGGGTGGAAAGACTGTAAGAGCCAGGGGTGGTGGGTGACCACGAGGAAATGGTTTTTCAGGCTTCTGGGAACTTGCTCTTGTAAACTTAACAGCAGTGATAACAGCATGCACAAAACCCATGCAAACTCAAACCAGACAAAAACCCACCCAGCAGAGAACTGGGGAAATGGACACGAAGCCTCAATCTTAGCTGAGGAACTCACTGCTGGGTGAGGGAGAGTTGGTCTTTAAGGGAGTGACACTAGGTAGGATGACCAGCTTCCAGTGGATGAACTCACACTGAGGGGCATCTGGGGACACAAATGACTTGATAAGCCTTAAAGTATGAGGCAGACTGCATGAAGCCTGGAGGGGGTGTGATGGGGGGGTTGCAGATAGGTCAGGGGTTCTAAATATGATTAAGATGTATTATAGGAAATGTGCCAAAATTCAATAAAATTATATTGAAAAATAAATTTGTATTAAGAATGAAAAAATAAACAATGTTCTAGTTTGCCTTCAATTGCTGTGACAAAACACTTTGAGCAATACCAACTTGGGGAAGAAATGGTTTATTTAGCTTACATCTTTGGAATCACAGTTCATCACTTAGGAAACCCAAGGTAGGAACTCAGGGCAGGAACCTGGAGGCAGGAGCTGGAGCACAGGCCATGGAGGAATGCTGCTTACTGGCTTGCTCCCCTGGCCCAAGCTCAGCCTGCTTTCTTATATAGCATAGGACCACCTCCCAGGGTGGCACCACCCACAGTGGGCTGGTATCTCCCACGTCACTCAACAGTCAAGAAGATGCCTCACAGACATGGCCACAAGCCAGCCCAGTGGAGGCAATTCCCCAATTGGGCTCCCTCACCCCAGGTGTGTCAAGTTGACAACTAACGCTATGTTATCCAGCACAAAACAACAACAACAACAACAAAGGTGGATGCCCCTGAGGAACAGCATCCAGAGTTGACCCTCTGGCTTTCACTTGCACATGCACCTGCACATATACAAACATGCTCAAACACACAGGAACACACACACACACACACACACACACACACACTCCCCCCCAAAAGCACATCACTAACAAAAAGCATCAGGTTAAAAGCTGGTGCATCTTATAGTGAAACAGGCAGTGTCTGGGGAGATCTAATCAAGACCAAGATATACAAGTTAAACATCGATCCTCAAAGTAAAAACGCTTTGTAGCTTAGCAATACAGGTGTTTTACCTTGACCTGATTGAAGATTTCTCTATGAAACCTACAGCCAGCATCATGCTTTAAAGTTAAATCACAAAAGCATTCTTACTAAAGATAGGCAAATGATGAGACTGAATGTCACAATCACTTATTTAACACTCTTCTGAAGCTATCACCAACAGAAAGGGGCAGAAAAGGAAACGATAAATATTATTCGTGGAGAAAGGAAAGTTTTCATTACTTACAATGGTTGTCTGCCTAGAAAACCCAAATGAATAAACTGAAAAAAGTATTTGAAACTAATTAGAAAGTTCAGAAAGATGGTTAGTTACAAGATAAATAACATGGAAAGTTCGCTGTGTGCCAGATATTATCAGTTAAAAGCACATGAAAAATGATGTTCTGCCTATCAGAGAACATGCTGTAAAAATAAAGGCATAAATTTAATAAAAGTTCTGAAAAAGCTACAAAGAAAACTATTGAAAACTTTTCACCGAGAGACATTTAAAAGCGAAATAAAAGTCAACCTTCCACCATGTCCATAAAAGATTCAGTGTTATGCGGAATATGTCTCTGAGGAGAAACATTAATTTAATGTGAGTTATCCATAAATCCCCAATTGTTTCATATTACTAGTTAAAATTATGATTTTACTTATGTACACAAGCTTATAAGAA